TTCAAGTATTAACAAGCTGTGACCTGGAGCAGTGCTTCTCAAAACTATTATATTTGTGGTGAAGAACCTTTTTTTTTTTTTTTAACTTTTAGTCTATCATAAATCAATATATTTACAAAAATGTAGTAAAAATGAATTACTAGAAAGATTTAAGAAGACATAGAAAATAAAAACCCTTAATTTTTATTAGGTGGCACAGACCTAAAATTATTATTACTAAGGTTTCTAAAATATTTATAGTCAGTTTCTATACTTACTTTATCTGGGATCAGTAAAGCAGACTGCCACCAATCCACAAGCCACACTTTGAGTAGCCGGGTGCTAGGGACAGCCTAGAGGTGGTCTGATAAGCTGGGCTTAAGGGAACACTTGGGTAAGCTGGAGCATGCACTCCTGAGAAAACACTCGGCAATAGTTAGAGTTCTTCAGATGAGGAGTTGGTGGGTCTCAGTTTCCCTGAAGTGTGTGACCAGCCTCCTGGGATAGTCTGCCTCTGAGTTCACAGTGGGCCCCTTGGAATAATCTACTGTCACCTTAAAAAGTAGGAAAGGCCGAATTTACGCACATCAGCGGAAATACTCCTGAACAAAGGGTGATCTCAAAGATCTCTGCAAAACTCTGCTTACCATACAAACAGCCAGAGAAATTGGTAGGTTTGGGTAAGGAGTACTATAAAAAATATTGCATCTAAAATAGTGAATTAAAGATGCTTTAAATTCTTATATCAAATCTTGAATAAGTAGAAAGTAGCACCTTGTATTATAAATTTGGTATAGAAGTTTATATAAATTTTAATTTTCTTAAGTAAATAGAGAAAAATTATCATGTTCCTTGGTATATAGTAGATTCCCAATAAATGATCATTTCTTTTCCCCTGTTAGATAGTAAGTTTGCTGAGCAAAGGGGCCACAGCTCAGGAAACTTTGCATCCTGCACAATGCTTTACACATAATAGGAACTCAAATAGTTGCTGAATGGAAAATAAAAAGATAGTCTGACCTCTGTAAAATATGCTTTTAGTTTCATGGGGAAAGATGAAAAGTAGTGGGTTTATATAGTTTGCCTTTCCTTTTGGAATAAATTAGATAATGAGATGACACTAACAGCTCCCTCTTAGTTTTGCTATAAGCCAACCATAATGGTAATATTTGAGATTAGTCAAACATCTTTTTCTTCTGTGGCTCAATGCATTTATACAAATCATTTGTGTAACCACTTTCAACTATTTACTCCCTTCTTTATCATTGTGAGCCCTTACACCATTTTTGTAGTACAGTTAGAGATGGGTCCTTCCTGAACCGGTTGACATTCAAAGTTAGTCTTCCTTGTCTCCTTTGATTGTTTCGCTGCTACCTAGTGGAGAGTTATTCCTTGAAACCTGTAATAATCAAATAAAACAGTAACATTTCTCCTGTATAAAAAGGATTCGTTAGATGTCCCAAAGTCAACAATGAAGAAAGTTCTTGTGCATCGACAGACACTGTCTTGCCAACGTTGACCCTGGATTGTCTCCACCTTCTTTCTGTTTCTTTTTCTAATATTTTTTTGGGTTGACCTGGTATGGCAAACAGCAGCAGTGAACAGTGATTGGCTCTATACAATTGATGATAGCTTTTGGGGAGTTGTTAAGTTTTCACTTTTTCTTTGGTACCTAGTTTAAGAATGTATCAATTGTTTTTAATGTTTTTGCTACACTTCTAGTAGGTGATGGCTGTACCTTGTGTTTGGTTTGTGTTCCTCTAGCTGAGATCGGGAGGCGCACAAGTGTTGGAAGGCTGCATTGCCGAAATCCACAACATCACCAGCTTAGACATCTCTGACAATGGTAAGTCAGAAATAAGGAAAAAGAAGAAACAGTATTATTTGAAGCAAGTTAATAAAGGGAGTCTCATCTTCTAGCCCAGTCTAGACAACATCTTAATAAAAGTGTTATTTCACTCCTTATCTAATAGGACTTTTAAATTTAACAATGGAGTTTATTTATGAAATCTGTACCAACATCTTACTAAGTTGATTCCATGGCCAAAAATGCAAAGTCTATGCAGTACATAAAAGTCCGTTAAAAAAATAGTATGAGTACATTGATAAAGATCTGAGACGAGCCTTTTGCATTCTTGCTGGTAATAAAGTTGAGCCCTTGTTTATTTATTCAGAAGCTTGTTTCATTACCATCATTTCTGCTGATTGTAGTAGCATAAGTATGAACCTGTTAAATTTGCACAGACAACTGCAGATACCAGCGAGTAAACAGTGTGCTGGAACCCTTTCTCTATGAGTGATGGGAAGGAGAAATCTTTCTGCCATTCTCCACTCTCAATCCCCAATGACTTTAGCCACTGATTGTGTAAGAGAATGTAGAGAATGAGTTTGTAGAGAATGAGTTTATTACTGTGAAATAATAAGGCAAGAAAAGAGAGCAAAAAGTTCCTTTGAAAAAGACAAGATGAGAATCCTAGGACCCTCAGAAAAGTCATCCGTCTGCATGTCGCCTTTGCTTAATTGTGTTCCAGTTGAGAGTTCATTTGTATACATGTATTCTGATTCTCCACTTTCTCTCATTCTTTCCAGGTTTAGAATCTGACCTATCTACCTTAATAGTGTGGCTCAGTAAAAACAGATCAATACAACACCTGGCACTAGGCAAAAATTTTAATAATATGAAATCCAAGTAAGAGTTTTGAATTTTTTTATATGACAGTTATGAAAATAACCAGCTTCCTGAAAACTTTTGGTTTGATTCCACTGTCTACATCTTTAAAATCTCTTTAGAAATCTGACACCTGTGTTGTACAACTTAGTACAGATGATTCAAGATGAAGAATCAGTGAGTATTATTTAAAAAATTTTTGCCTAAAGTCTTTGTTTGTTGTCATTCTTATAATTATTTCTACTGGGTTAATGCTAATATACTTTCAGACAATTTTATCTGTGTAAACATTTTCTATTGTTATTTTTTAATGGAATATTTATGCTTTAATACAGCTGTAGAATGTATTTAAACTTAGTCTTCACTTGCTTCAACTCATCACTAGTTAAAGGAAGATTGTAGATTAATAGTTAAAAGAAATACAAATTTACTCCTAAACCCATCTTTTAATAAACCTTAGATTTTCTAGCTTTACTGAATGCACTAATCTGCAGGCATGAATTACTATAGCATAATTGACTTTATGACCTTATATCATGCTGAGAAACATCATATTGCTAATTTCAATTTCATCTGGTAATTACACAGAGATACAGGAGACTAAGAAAGTTGTCCCTCAGGCGAAACTGCTTCTTGAGCTCTAGTAATCCTTCTTATATTTTTTTCCCCTTTAGTTGATCATGGCCAAGAATTTGTTTAGGGTAAAGAAATTTAATTTCAAATACCCTATTTTGTTGCCCTTAAAAATGCACTAGAAAAAAAAAGAGATATTTTACGAATAAAGTAAGAAGCACTTTACTATTAATTCCTTTAATTTAATAAACCTGGTGTATCATACCTTATATTTTACTGATGCTATTTAAGATTTTATCCCTTTTCTGCTCTAGTCCTATTTGGCTGCCAAACTCAGCTTTTATGGTTCCTAAAATCCAAATGAATTTGTATTTCTACTATGAAGATTTGCATTTTTCATATTAGTGATAGCTACTTTTGTAAGTCATAAGAGTGATTTCTTATATTAATTGTGTGAGATATCACATATTTTAAAAGTATACTATTCCCTTTTTCATATGGAGTAGTAGGAAATTCTGTAAGCTAACTTTTCTGAGACAGCTAAGGGGCTAGGAGAGATGGGGATTTGAACTGTTCCTTGCTTGCCCTTGTTCACACCTCTTTGTGGGGCTCTGATCTGGAGGGCATGGAAAATTCTGACTCTTCATTGTGTGGATATAGTTTCTAACCTGTGGGCTAGAAATGAAACTCATTATTATTGAATGAATTCAAGCACTTCTCTTTGTCCTCATTTGCCAATAAACCCCATATTTTGTAATTCTTATATTGGGTTATTAAAATTAAGGCATAAGTAGGATGTAATTTACACTTTTCAGAATTTAGGCTATTTGTTTTACGTATTTAATTTGACTTTACACCACCCTGTTTTAGTCACGATTCTGGTTTCCCAGATTTGGCCCAGTTTTTCAAACCTGGGGAAGCTAATATGCAGAATCATATTTTAATATTCATCCCAAAATATTTTTTCTTAGCACATAATTTAGGAAAATGTATATTTTATGAAAAATATATTAATTTCATGTTTTCCTTATTACATGAGGGTCTTCAAACTATAATCTTGAAAGTCTCTCACTTAAAGATAATCTTGTTATTTAAAACACACCTAAAAACATAATTGCATAGGGTAAAGTTTGCTATGTAAATGTGAATTCTGTCAAGTTATAAGTTTGAGTTAGTGTGCCGCTAATAATGTACAGTGAAAAGCTTTATGTTCGTGTCATCGAAAAATAGGTGGCTTTTTCAGAGAGTAATTACCATCTATTTTTTTCTACTTCTGAATCAATAATGTGTAAAACAATTTAAAATGATCAGGAGTTGAGTTTTGTGACTATAAAATTTCCAATAACTGGCACAGTTGAGCTCATTTTTTGTTTTATTTTTTTAAAGGTTTTTACATAGATAAAGTAATTCCTTTGTTTTTTACATTCTGACCTTCTGTTTGTAGAGCTTTTTCCTAGACAGGCCAGGGAATACTTTATTTGCCCAGTATTATGCATAATGTTCAGTTGGAAAACTTACATATCTGTGAGCTCCAGTGTCACCTGCAACTGCAGACAGTGGGTGTCAGGCTGCTGTGCTCAGTTCTGGGACAGTAACATGGAGGGGTGAGGATGATAGGGAATCTTGCTTTGAAGTGTTACATACAAACCCATGTTGTAACCAGTAGAACTGAATGTGTGTCTCCCAGGAATGCCTGCAGCACGGAGACAGTTTCAGATTACCATGTGCAGCAATGAAAAGAAATAGTAAGATTTCCAATAGTGATGTTACATGCAAGTGCAATAAATCAAGAAAGGATGATGACCTTATAAATACGCATGCAGTTCAGGGTGTTCTGTGTGTATTAATGAGTCTGCCTGTTATTTTTAAGTGTTAACTGGGGTGTATTTGGGTTTGCGCATAGTCCTGGAATTGGTGCTTGCTGGCTTTGAGACTTGGCAGTTTTCCAGTATTTGCAAGACGCTGTAATATATCATTTTAGTAGCAGTTGAATAACAATTATTGAAATGATGAGAGATGTGATTACAGCTTTATATGAAAGCAACATTGCATTTGTTTTTATTTAAAACATGAAGTGTCTCAAGTCTGAAGCATTTTTAGTTAAGTTCTTTCCATTTACTTAAATGTAGGATCTTAAGAAAATTGAAGCAACTTCACTAAACATGCTAGAATCTAAGCATATATGGGCTTCTGGCTGAGGTTTTAATTGCCTTAGCACTTAACATGCCATTTGACTTTTAAGAGTTTGATTCTAATACATATAATATTACCGTTTAATTTTACTATGGATGTACTCAGTTTAGGAAACATGATCAAATTAGGACAATAAGTATAGTCCCTTGGAAAACCTATAACCAAACAAGAATGCCACTTTGTGGATATCTGAGTCTTGAAGCCATCAGCACCCTCGTCCTGCCTCCTGCAGCCACTTGGCAGATGTGCCTCAAACAGGTGTTCCTTTGGAAGTCAATGTATAGTGGTTGAGTGGACACAGATACACCCCAGGGTTTTGTGGAAGTCACACAGACCACTGGGCACAGCTTCAGAGCTCTGGTCCCTCAAGCCACCATGGAACCCGGTCATAGATGACCCTTGAAGCTGCTTCCATCATCCACCACCTCCCTGTAGTGTCTGCATTGCTTATGGAAAAGCAGATAGAACTGTTTAGTGTGGCTGGGCCAATATAAACCATGTCAGGTAACCAAGAGACATCCACACCCCCCAGGGAAGTCTGAACTCTGACTTTTGGAGCCACATTGGTTCAAATCCTGGAATTCTCATTTCATTAAATCAGTTATGGCTTAAATCGAGGATTGCAAATTCAGATGTCTACAGGGCTAGGAAAACAACATAAATAAGGATGTAAGTAGGGGGCCCTAGTCATTTTTTTGGTCAGATATTATGCAGGCCAAGCAGAACTACCTCCAGGCTGAGTGGCTGTTAGTCTCTGGCTTAAATGGACAGTGAGGGGCTTGCTCTTGGTTCACCATACAGCTTACGGTAATAATAAGGTCACCCACATTGGACTTCTTTTTCTTTTTAATTGTAAGTATGTCTTCTAATTACCTTATATATTTATAAGGTAAACCAAAGGGTGATGATCAAAGATCTAAAATAAGAAATAGGGGCAGTGTTATGTAGGGTTAAGAGCACAGAATCTAGAACCAGACCATCTGTTTCCAGCTCAGCTACTTTTTAACCATGTGACCTTGGTTGAGTCACTTAACCTTTTTGTTTCTTATTTGGGAAATGGGGATAACAATACCTAATATAAGAATATTTATACTGGGTAGTCTTATATCAGGTATTCTTATATTAGGTATTCTTATATTAGGAATTAGGTAATATAAGAATAATTATGTAAGAATACTTATATAAAAATACTAAATATCCTTATATTAGATATCCTGGGAGGGTTAAATGAATAAATATATGTAAAAACCTTAAACAGTGGTTCAACATTGTAAGTTTTCAATAAATGCCAGCTAGTATTACTAATCTTGGCTGGTTTTTATTTTGTATTTGTCTTCTATTAGTAGTTTAAGATGTTGTTTCACCTTGCATGAAAATAAAATGGGTAAAAAGGGATAAGTATAGCCATACTGAACCTAAGAAATTTTTGTGTAGCATTTTTATTCATCCTATTCTCCACTTCAGAGAGTTACCGTCTGCCACTCTAGGTAGCTTTCCACAGCTTCCCTTAGATGAGAGGCAGACAGTATCCAGCATTAAAACACAAGCCCTCCGTGTTTTAATCCAAAGGCCCATTTTATGCCAGAACCTTCACATCCCATTCTTCAGTGCCTTTTAGCCATAAGTTTACAAATGAGGCACTTAGAGCAGCGGTACGTCCCCTTGATGATTCTCTATAATGTGGGTCATCGAGAGTGATCGTTGCTTTGATAAGCCTATGTGCATGCTACTTGCTGTTCCCTCCACAGCCTCTGCAGTCCTTGTCCCTGGCTGACTCGAAACTCAAGACTGAGGTCACCATCATCATTAATGCCCTGGGAAGCAACACCTCCCTGACCAAAGTGGACATCAGCGGGAATTCCATGGGGGACATGGGAGCCAAGATGCTGGCCAAAGCCCTGCAGATTAACACCAAGCTCAGGTATGTGGGTCAGGCACTCGGGCCTGAAGCCTGCATGCTTGTTTTAAAGAAGGCCTGCAAAGAATTGTGGCCAGCAAGCATCAGAGAGCCGGCTATGCCCGAGGTTGCCAAGCTTCCCAGGAGGCCAGCCAGGAAGAAGAGATGACAATTTCAGGTCTTTCGTCAGAATAGTTGCGAGGGTGTTCCCAAATTTAGACATAGTGATTCCTCTAAGCTTTTGTTTTAAAGATTTCCATTGGGAGGTGAAACCTGACTGAGAGCTGTTGCAGTTTCCTTTTCACATCAGTGTTGACACTGACCGATGTATGGGGATGCAGTGAGCAGCAGAGGAGGATCTGTAGTTAGTGACAAGTAAACAGAGCTGGGAAGACGGCAGGAGTAACTTGAGGGCTTTTCTGTACTTGGTGTGAGTGCAGCATCTTGTCTTCCTCTCCTCACTCCTACCAGTATAGAGATAGAAAACCCAAGGGATACACGAGATCCACTGGTTCAAAGGCAAGTTCAGACTGGGTACTAGATGCTTTATTCAGCGGTTTCCATCTTTATGCTCCCAAGATTGGTGTTCCTTAAGGACCAGCCATGTGGTAACCACTTTTCTTTAGGACTAGCTATGTGGTAACCATGTAGCTTCCATCCTTCAAGAGAGACCTGGGTTGCCCATTGTCTAGCAGTCTGGTAAATGAAGAGTTAATTCATATTACTGTGCAAGGCTCGTTCTTATGTTTCCTATGCTCTTCAGTGTAAGACAGAGCCTGAATTTTATTTCTAAATCGAAGCCAATACCTCAAACTGCAGCAGTTTCTTTGAAGGTAAGTACACGGTCTGACAATTAAGTTCGCAAACTTGTTGCAGTGATGTTGCTAACCTTTTTTGATATCAGAGGGATGATTCATTATGAATTTGTACCAACTGGACAAACAGTT